ATATATATATATATATATATATATATATATATATATATATATATATATATATACATGTAGACACAAACATATATATATATATATATATATATATATATATATATATATATATATATATATATGCGTACGGCACCTTGGAAGTGAAATTGGGTAGATGGAACTTTTGAGGTCCATCGATATCTGTGCTGGCACGAAGTCACAAGTCATCGTGGCTGAGGGTTTGAGTGTGCTGCCTTTGTTCAAATAGTTGATCACGCTAGAAAACACGCTCTTTTCTCCAGAGACTGTAACTAAGGTCTGCTTAGCATAGTTGCAGTATAAATCACAGGTGGGCTATGTGGGTGTTGAACAAACCCAAATGCACCTGAGCAAGCGTCAGCAATAGTCGAATGGTATTCTCGAATACGAGTGTCCAGCTGCACACACACGCATATATATTGTTGTGGTAGGATCCACCTAATTTGCATAGTCGAGTACCGACCATATAAATATGGTTGGTACCAGAAAGAGAGGGAGGAATCAAGAGATTCAACCAGAGACTCTGCCCGACTGTGACTCAGTCAACACATTCTCCAGGAACGGTCTTACCAGGAATATACAAAAGACTATATGTAAATATTGTGTACACTTTCTTGTTTCAATATCTTTTGTTCTAAGTACATTTTGTGTTGCATTATTATTCCATGCATTAGTCAAGTTTCAATATATATATATATATATATATATATATATATATATATATATATATATTTGTGAGAGAAAGAAAGAAAGTGACTGAGACAAAAAAACGAAAGATAGACAAACAGTAAAACTGAAAGTATTTTGAAAGAAAAACAAATTTATATTTACTAGAAAGAACAGGCATTTTCGTATTCTGTTGAATCTTAATTCTTAAGTTAATCATTTAGTAAGCTCATTGCTCGTTCTGCAACAATAAAATATCCATAAAAATTTCCCTAACGCATCGTTAAGTATTTGAGCTTAAAACCTTAAACAAAATATCGCTACAAAAATCTTAAATATGAATGCTGGTCGTTATTTTACGAAGTAAACTGCTACAAATGAAAACAATTGAAATTGACAGCTTTTTTAATTCATTGAACCAGACGTTAAACACTTCTATCTTCCCTTTCATTCATTCTTTCTTTCCTTCTTTTATTCGCAAGTAACGTCCCTAAAGTCAGTAGAAGCATTGGGTGCACAAAATTTTGCCACTTAGCACAAGCCTAGTCTTATCAGAATGATCTTGGGCACAAACTTTGGTTAATCAGAACAAGCTTGGCCAGTCAGAATATGTTGGGACTGTCAGAAACAAGCATTGGGCGCATTGCATTTGGCCAGTCAAGACAAGTTTAGCCTGTCAGAACAAATCTTGGGGACATACCATTTGGTTAGTCAGAACAAGCTTAGCTAGTCAGGACATCCGAGGCCAGTCAAGAGATATATGGCCAGTCAGGACATGCAAGGCTAGTCAGGAGATGTATGGCCAGTCAGCTAGCATTGGGCGCACAACATTTGGCCAGTCAGAAGCTGCTTTGGCTTGTTAGAACAAGTCTTTAGCACGCAAAATTTGGTCAGTCAGAACAAGCTTAGTCCTGTCAGGACACGCTCGACTTGTCAGGACAAACGTTAAGCGCACTAAATAGCCCAGAAAAGTTTGACCCTCAGAGAAAATAATATCTTGAACTAGCCACAAAAAAGTCTATATTAAAATACCATAAACTAAAACTATTATTTATTCCCAAAACATGACAGCAAATAAACCATCCCAATAAATACATAAAACTAAGTAAATACATCATATAACTATAATAAATGTATGAATTAAAAGTATCGTATATGTTAGCGTACAAGGCGACCATGCGTATAAGACGACCCCAAAATTTTTATGTTAAAATGTAGCTTTCAGGTTATATTCTCCGTAAAAGTCGACCCCACCAAATCATATTTTTAAAATGTATTGAATTTATTAAATAAATTCAGTAAGCATATACTTTCTTTTCACCCAAATTCTAATGTAATTCCTGTCGTTGCCTAGCGTTTATTTTTTTTTTCTTGTTCTTCTACACTTAGTAACCCGATGTGTTTTAGTGATTTGCATTGGGTGACATGATTAAAAACAAAAACAAAAAAACAAAACAAAACTTCATTTAACAGAAGAACTACTGGTTCTATTGAGATTTTCACTATTTACATTGCTCGGACTATCATCCTCATCTTTGTTGCCATATTTATCACAACACTCCGGTTGGAATGTCGAATTGAATCCTTTATTTCGCTCATTGGGGTAGACTGTTCTAGTTCCACGTGCCATGTCTAATGGATGTCATTTATCCGTTATCTCCTGTTAATTCCCCTCTCCAAGTTCTCCACCACCTTAACAAGGTATTGAACTCAAAACTCTTTGGGTCCTGTCATTGGATCTAACCAACGCCTTTATCCACATCACTAGTATTCTACTTTAATATGACAAACAATGGCATTGTTTATACATTAACTTAAAAAAGACAATTTTTTGACCAACTATTGTAATATTTTCACTTAATATAGGTACTACATATGCTGGCATAAAGGTGACTGGGTATATAAGACGACCCCCAACTAAAATGTAGGTTTTGGGTGATATTCACCATACACAATGACCTCACCCAAATCATATTTTTAAAATGTATTGAATTTTTATTAAATAAATTCAGTAAGCATATACCTTCTTTTCATCCAAATTCTAACGAAAAATAATGGAGAGGGTGGGGAGAAATTATTCAATTAATTACCACAATCTACAATACCTTATGAGTAGAGGTGCTGTGTTTTCGGTAGACTATTACGGTAACCTGAATGACTTTTCCCCGCTAACCATCCACTCGTTCTATTGTTCTCAAATGCGATCTTTAAACAGCTCGTTGAGACACACATCCAGTTGTGTTTTTGTTCAGCGTCGTCGGAAAAAGCAGGTGAGGCAGGGGTTCGCCTACCGTTAAATATCTCCCATTCTAGCAACCACAGGAGGTTCACATTTCATACCTGGAGTATAACATGGCCCCCTATTTTGGGGGATTTTTTAAGGTTAAAAAGTCACCTATATACGGTAAATAATATATATGCATGTAAATAAGCAAGCCATGGTTCATGAGCATAAATAAACGTAGCCTATTTACAAACGCATTTTCTCCAATCCCCCAACCAGCATAAATAAGACACACCATGGAAATTTCGCTTGAAACCTCTTAGTAACTTCTTAGGAACTCCTAGATAACAATAATGGTTTTACAGTGAGCGTGGGGATCCAACTTATGTATGAAAAAAAGAAAGAATGAAATACGACAAAGGACTACACTTTCTGTTGTTGTTTTTTTAATCAGTTCACCCAAAGTAAGGCGATAATGCCACTCAGATGCCCTGGGGGTGAAAGAGAATTAAAAAAACAAAACTTTAGAAGGAACCGGAAACACAATTCTGTACAGGAAACAAAGAATAAACCTCTAAATTCCATTGGTGAATTGTTGAACCTATCTATGTCTATTGAGGAAAAAATAAATAAATGGTGAATAAAATTTCAGAGTTTAGGCAGAGATTTTAGAAACAACGAGTTGAAGTAGACCGCAGAAGAAACCGGAAATCCAGACATCAAAACGTTAAAGATACTGGGACGCTCGGCTTTTAACATTTCTATGTAAACTGCAACGGCGTTTGCTATATTGCTTTCTCTCACCTTCTCCTCGTCTTTTCTTATTCATAAAACTCATTCGATCAATAAAATCTTTATTATTCCGATGAAGTTCTTTCAATAAAGGAAATCCATGTGTGTGTGTGTGTGTGTGTGTGTGAGTGCGTGATTAAGGAGACGTACAGCCATTTACTTTTTACCAACGGCATCAAAAGTGTTTGCTGGAGGAGTTATAGCAACAGAAGTGGGAACTTGCCGCTAATCTTATATATAAAATACAGTGTATGTGTCTTTGTGCGTGTGTGTGTCCAAGCAACTCCTCCACACCCACTGGTCCGATTTCAATGATTCATAGCTCATTCAAAAGCCCGAGAAAAGTTAGGCGCTGGGAACGATTTTCGTTGAGCGCAGATTCAGGGTTACCAGATTATGCGAGGTTAAAGATATATATTAATATATTATACTAGCCATGATCGTTGTTTTCATAGTTCAAGGGGAGTAACTCTTATTTTCGTTTTGTATTCAAAATTGCAGTGCACGTTTTTATTATAAACTAGTTTAAAAATATTATTATCTATATTAATATATTATACTAGCCATGATCGTTGTTTTCATGGTTCAAGGGGAGTAACTCTTATTTTCTTTTTGTATTCAAAATTGCAGTGCACGTTTTTTATTATAAACTAGTTTAAAAAAACCGTCCTATTGGCCGGCATTTAAGATAGCTCCCGTGGAGGACTCTTGGTTTGGTCATCATCACAATAGCTAAGGAGGAGTAAATACGATAGGCATCATTAAACTACAGAAGAACTCAAAATTGATCGCTACATTTAAGTATTGAATTAATGCTTACCATTTAAAAGTTCAACGAAAATTCTTCTGCTGTCACTTAAAGACGATTTGATGTAAGTAGGTCCTTACTTTCCGCACAAACAATTATTTTTATTTCATGGGTGACAGAACAAGGGTCAATTCATAAGATAAAATTAATATAGTGTAAAGATGGGAAAATAGAAATCAGAATTAGTTATACATTCAACATTTGAAGAGTTAGAGAAACATAATAGCTAAGTAAGTAAAACTTATATTATAGAATCTATATCAATAAATGCGAAATTGGAGCTTAATTCTCCCACGAATTCTGAGATTAAAACGCCCCAGATCTACTTTATAGTAATTTGGTACATACTTGAACACCAACGAAGTTGCGTTGTGACACAAAGTCGGTTTAATATGGGGTGCCCGAGCGCGTACACCCGGGCTAAGAACAAAAATTCCCCGAACCCTTGCAACTTAAGTAAATTATGGAATATTTTTTCATATTTATTTTGAGATGTATTTTTTCCACTCTCCTTGGGCGGATCTCAGCGAGTTTGTGATTAGGTACTTAATAAGAAGGATGCCTTGTTGGACGAGAAAAGTCGAGAAATGACGACAAGTGTACATTGATTGAGGTATGTATGGTTGAGCACCCCGCGCTCACTATTGCATGAGGGAAGTGAACGTATTTTATCGAATAAAGTGATATAACTGGTTGAGCGCCCTGCACTCAATAATGAGTAAAACTACTGCACTTTCGATCTTGCAAGCGACCGGTTAGTAATTTATAATTCTTTTTCTTTCGGAGCAAATGAGCGGCAGTGTGGAACAATGACTTCTGACATAATAGAAGTGCGATAAAGGAAAGTTCATCAGAACAATTACCAGTAAAGTATTTACAGAAAAATCACAGGGAAGCAACATTACGGCGGTGGGAAAGTGACTGAAGCCGAGATGCCAGGTTAATTAATAGAACTTGTAACAGTAAATCATACATTCTAAAATTATTTCCTGGCTTTAAATAATCTGCAATGGGTTGATAAGCCGTGAAAATAATCAATCTTTGTTTGTAACATTTTAGCACCGGCCGATAGGTCCTGATAAAGTCAGTGGTAATAGGTTTAAACTTTAAAAAAAAATTACTTTTACAGGCAATAAGTCTTCTTTACGTAGATGTTATAGCTCTTTCTAATATGGATGAGAGTTTCCTTCCAAGCCTGTTTTATTGGTTACCACCGAAAGTGATAACAACATTCAATCTGAAAAATAAAAGATTCGCAATATTGGGTGCCCAATGAGGATTAGATTCACCAATGTCATACGGCGTTTACCCTTTTGCTTTTTCTTAGCTGATGTCTCCTGAAAACAAACAAATGATACCAAAGAAATCCTCCTGTCTCGCAATACTCTGTCCGGCTTTTGGAATGTGTCCTTGGCCATCCCAATACGTCTACGGATCTCAGTGTCGCACTTACCGTCCTCTGTCAAGGCGATTCCCAGATATTTAAACTTCCGCGTCTGCTTGATTCTAGCGTTCCCGACATGCAAATCGCATTTCGGCTCATAAATACATGAAGTCTGGGTACCATAGAGGGAAGTTCATCAGAACAATTACCATGAAAGTATTTATAGAAATGGTACAGGGAAGCTACATTACGGCGGTGGGAATGTGACTGAAGCCGAGATGCCATCTCAGAACTAATAAGATTGCAGATTCTTCTTTGGGTTTTATCAAGAATCTCTAAATATATATCAGGAGAACCAGACTAGATGTTGCAGTAATCTTCAAATCCTGGACGAATGGTAAACTTATAAATATGTAAGATAGATTCAGGGAAGGAAAATTGTCTAACAGGATACATAGAACCTAATTGTAATGGTCCACTACCAGCGAAATTACAAAAGAAAATTATCAATGCCTTCAAAGTCCTCGGGTTTATGATCGAGATTTTCTCCAACCTTAAAATAGTTGACTACCTAAATATCACCCTTAACCATAATGACAAAACCTTTAAATCTTACCATAAAGGGAACGACCCCCCCCAACTATATTAATATCGGTTCTAACCACCACAATGCAATCCTAAGGCAAATACCTATTACCGTTTGCACCAGGACTAGTAAATGATATGTCCCGCAAAGGGATATATTTGTTCGATGTAGCAAAGTGGTTGTTGACTACTGTAACTGAGTAGCAAAATCTAGCAGGTAACCGTAATGGACTGGTCCTCGTCGTAGTGGTAGGCAATAGGCGTCGTCAATAGGCGTCCTCCATGTACCTCCACATCAGTCTGTATTTATGGCTGACACCAGCCAATCATATTACGGTGAGGGGGAACCCAGGTGTATGCATATTCATATGTACCGATACACAACAAGTGGAATGTAGGTGTAAAAACAGGAAAAGGAAAATCACTTGGTTCAACCCCCACCTTCTGCAAATTGTCAAGTATCAACATCGGACAGTACTTTCTAAATTTAATTACTAAACAACAAAAAACCTCTAAATATGATAGTTAACAGGAAATCACTCAAAATTAGCTACTCCTGCACTGATAATATGTACCAAGTTTTAAATTCCCATAACAATTACATTTTAAGTAAATTTCATGGCAAAAAAACAAAACAAAATCTAACATGGAAACCCCCTGCAATTGTAGAATTAAGGAAAACTGCCCAGTAGAGGGCAAGTGCAGATCCACTAGGGTAGTATACCAGGCAACCATTCCACCCTAAAGAAAATACGACAAACCATAATATTTACATCGGCATTTCTGTAGGAGAATTTAAAGAGAGAATCAATACACATAGACATTCATTCACCAATGCAAAATTAAAACACCAAAAAGCCCTTTCGAAAAAAATTTGGGAATTGAAGGAAAAGGGTCAGAATCCTCAAATAAATTGGAAAATTCTAGGTTTTGCGAACACCCCCCAATAGTTTTAGGGATAGGTGCAAGATATGTTTAGAAGAAAAAATCAGGATAATAAAATAGAAAGATCAATGCAAACTATTAAATCAACGGAAAGAACTAATTAGGAAATGTAGACATAGAAATAAATTCCAAATTATATAAGAATACATGTGCATATAAGTGGAGGTTTATGTGTACGTATAATGGCATATATGTATGGACATGTAAATGTACATATATGTATGTATGAAGATATGTACGCATGTAAGTGTGTTGGACAGCATGATTTATTCCATTAGTTGATCTAGTATTACCTACAATCTAAGTTTAAATCCCCCATCGCTTATTAATATTATTAATAATATTGGACACCTGTAGTAAAAAAAAAACAAAAAAAAAACTATTTACTGTGAATCCCATAAAAAGACGCTCCGGGGCTTTTTATAAGAAACGCCACATAGTAGGAACTGATATTGTACCACAAATAACTAGTCCAGGCTACCACATAGTAGGAATTGATATTAAGTCCTGGCCATAAATAAACTCCAACCCCAGACCGCTACCCCCACACGGGATAAGATACATTACGCCCCGACAAATCGCTAACACAAACCCACTCTCATTACCAAGGCGTCTACGAGAGGAGGATTGACATTGAAAATAAATTTAAAACAATGCTCCGAGACAGACACTTAGAGGCTGATGATAACCGTGTACAAAATGGCTTGAAATAGACTATACCTATGTTGAGATAATTTTTTTTATTTTTGTTGTAAAAAATACATATGCTCTGTTAAAATAAAAAAAAATCGAGTTCTGTGGATTAACTTTAATAATTAATATTCTAGGATCCAACCAGATTATATACCAACGGATTAATTACCTGTACTATATATATATATATATATATATATATATATATATATATATATATATATATATATATATATATATATTTTTCAATTATAGGTGCAATTTAATTTATAAATTCATGAATCATTCATACAAAAAAACAAATATAGTGGTTCATGATTAAATGGCGTTGGTGTATTTTATTGATATTGTTTCCGAAGATGTATTCTCGCCATTTAAATCATGAACCTCTATATTTGTTTTTTTGTATGAATGATTCATGAATATATATATATGTGTCCGTGCAGCGTTACAATTTTTGTACGCTTCCTCGGAGTAACGTCCATCGCAGACAATGACCGTAAGACAACTAATTGACAGTCGAAACAATATTGTCTGGGCGTGATGAAAATCTGATGCAATCCCGGATGATGCAATAATTTTCAAGGCCAAACAAATTTTATCATACGCCCCCAAAATAGATTCATATTACGGCACACCACTGCAAACTACCTATTCTGAGGAAAAATAGAAATTGATTTCACCCTGTAACTTCAATGGGTTTAAAACTGACTGCATGGTGAAAGAAAGGAAACTAAAGCGCTTGTTTCAATTAATTTGCATTTATATATATATATATATATATATATATATATATATATATATATATATATATATATATATATTTTTGAACAATAAGAAAATAAAAATTTAAAATTAAAATCATTAGACACACTGGGTTGTAGATTAATATTCTTTCGTTTTTTATTATTATTATTCCATTTAGATTCCTCGACTAGTTTCGACCGAAATGGCCATCATCGGGAGGAGAAATTAAATATTTCTGCTTGCTGTTAGCAGTGAACTACAGAAAATAGTAGGGGACAAGGTAATCCGTAAGGAACTGAGAACAAAAACAACAGGATTTTCCCGACCATGTAACAACAAAAGAAGTTTATGTTGCAACCATATTAAAAACACGAATTCATTCACTAGCTCAATCACTAAATCTACTTTCAAAATCTACCACGATTCTAACTGTAGAAGTCAAAACATAATTTACCTCCTAGAATGCACACTATATATATATATATATATATATATATATATATATATATATATATATAATTACTTTTTTAAAAAATATGATTTCTTCGCTACGTAATAGTTTCAAAAAACAGGGGCCAAAAACTTCAATATAATTATTAAAATTAAATTGAATTAAAGTATCAAGCTCTGTTTAATTCCCAAAATTTAATTTTAAGATGAAACAGAGCTTGATACTTTAATTCAATTTAATCTAGCGAAGGAATCATATTTTTTTAAAAAAATAATTATAATTATAATTTAGGCTCTACTGTTGTATTGAGCACTGTTTTTTTTTTTTAAATAAAAACAAAAATACTAAAGCCACAGAGGATCGTTCGATTAGCTCGATCGGTTAAGAGCACCTCAGGCTAAATGACGATTATGTATAAGATACAAGTTCGATTCCTGTCGGAGGACGAATATTTTCTATGAAAATTTCTCGGACATTCAGGCCGGTAAATGTTGTTAATACTGTTTATTAACAAACAGAGCATTTACTTAAATATTTGTATCTATAAAAAGAATGTATAAACATAAAAATATAATAAAATTATTATTATTATTATCAGCATCGATAGTGATTTTAGAACTGATGTCATCGGGGAAATTCGTTGATTTTTGTTATTTTTCTTTGTTTTTGTTATTAAGATATATGTATATTTTTGTTCTTTAATCTTTTAGTTTTCTCAATTTCCCAGCCATTTGCAGCATATGGGTTAACCTCCACCTTGTCTGGGAATCTGACGAATCGGCTTTTCCTAATAGGAACTGAAAGCGCGTGAACCGTAACGGTTGCTTCCTCCCATGCCGAAACCGACGTCGTTTTCGGTGGGCGTATAACTCAACTCTTCATCCCTTGGTAGTAATTTCGGGGAGACGTTTTTTTTTTTTTTTTTTCGTTAGGGATTGTTTTAAACAATTTCAATTTTAAATTCGCCATTGTTTTCGGACCTTTATTCTGTGAATTTCGCAGCCTGTTAATAAACGGAACTTTTCACACAAATCAAAGTTCCATTAATATGTAAATGTCGCAGCCACTTGTATCCGAGCATGCCAATCTACTAGTGCGGTTAGATAATCCCCATTGCAGACGTCTGTTCAGGCACATTTGTGTTTCATCAACTCCTACAGAGCCGACCTGTGGTTTATGCTTCAACTATGCATAGCAGACTTTAGTTACAGTTTCTGGGAGAGAACCCTTTATCTAGCGTGAGCAACAGTCTGAACAAGGCTAGCATGCTCAAACCCTTGTCACGATAACTTGTGACTTCGTGCTAGCACAACCACTGAAGGCTCCCAAGTGGTCCGTCTACCCAATTTCTCTCACGAGGCTTGGGTCAACCCGTGGTATGGTTTTAGGGCACTTACCAAATGTGCCGCACGCGCTGGGATTGCATCCTCAAGACCAATAACATCAAGAAATAACCTTTCCTAACAAATCGGCCACTGAGACTCGAACCCGCATCACATGGTCAGAAAGCGAACGCTCTAACCACTCGGTCGCGTTAATCCGATAATAAGAGTAATAATGGTTGGCTACTCGTATCCGTGGGTCTATTAGAGCGGCTAGCTAATCCCCATTGCAGACGCCCGCTCAGGCACATTTGTGTTTGTTCAACAACCAGAGAGCCCACCTGTGGTTTATACTACAACTATGCTCAGCGGACCTTAGTTACAGCTTCTGGGAGAGAACGCTTATATATATATATATATATATATATATATATATATATATATATATAAAGAAGAGTTTATAGTAGTTCGAACGATAGAAAAGTTTGTATATTAAAAAGAAGAGAGAAACGGCAAACGTTTTTGGTTGTTATGTGGATTTAAAAAAAAATATTATGTATTATTTTTCATAATTTTCCTACTCGAGTTTCCGGTCTCGCGACCGTCATCAGGCAAAGGGTGGAGATTTCCACATATTAAAAATAATTATTTTTTTCTCCTTATGTTAAATATTCTCGGTATGAGACACTCTCTTTTTTGTGTGTTAGTGACCCAAATGTCTTTCTTGCGCTGTCTTTGAAATGTCTTTCTTACTCTCTCTCTCTCTCTCTCTCTCTCTCTCTCTCTCTCTCTATATCTATATATATATATATATATATATATATATATATATATATACATGTATATATAGGTAGTAATCCGTTGGTATGATCCAGGCGAGTCCTATTAAGACAACACAGAATTTGAAATATGTTAAAACTGACCCACAAAAGAACTCATACATATATCCAAACCCCCTCCAAATCTTTTGAAACGCTCATCCAAACTTTGAGCTCTGATATATGGACGAGTTTAATACCAGTAATTCCGAATTAACTCTCTTCCAATTTACTAAAGTTACCTCTTGATTGTTTTTTCCATTTTTTCGTTAATTTCCGTGAATTCCCGTCGAATTAAATTTTGGCCGTGCGACCATTAGGATGTAGGTCAGCTCATCGGTCTCCTCCTCTCTCCCTCTACCCAGGCTCTCCTACCTCCATAATATAATTCCATTAACGAGTTCTTCTTCCCTCCATACCTCCCCAACAAGTCCCCTATAACATCCTCTCCCACTTTCCTTCTTCAACTAAACAGTATCCCACTACAAACTGATACCACAAACAGTTTGAAAAATCCTGCGAATTTTAAAATTAAAATTCGTAGGTGAAAATGGTCATTAACCAAAGATATCTTAATTCCAAATGTAAAGAGTATATATATATGGAAAAAAACAACAGGAAACCATTCTCCTGTATTTCCCAAGAATCACATGCCAATTCCCAGATAATAATATTATGGAATCTGTGGAAAATGCAACAGGAAATCATTCTCCTCTATTTCCCAAGAATCACATGCCAATTCCCAGATAATAAAGAGAATGAATCGTTGGGAAAACAGCTGGAAGACATTCCACTGTCTTTTTCAAATAATCACATGACAATTCACAGATAACGAAGAAATAAAGTTTGTGGAGGACTCAACGGAAAACCACATCACTGTCTTTCCCAAGAAGACAATTCTGAGACAGTAACATGGAATAATCTTTGGAGAAGGTAACTTTTTCTCCACTACCTTTCTCAATAAACACATGACGATTCACAGATAAACTAGGAAAGGAATCTGTAAGGAACCCAATGTGAAACCACTCCCATAACTTCCTCACCATTTTCCCCCTCATCCTTTTTGTTTCTTGCGTTTTCGAATCATCATAGAGATTATTCCCATGTCAAGAATATGTGAGTCTAGTATTCTAAACATTTAGGTTTAATCAGTAATTGATTATTGAACTGTGAGTGGCCACACCGAGTTTCGTTAAACCAGTTTCATTAATAAGGATTGGGTTAATTCGTTTCCAGGCACTTCCTAAACGGTGCCACACTCTGGGTTTTTCTCCTCAGGAAGATATTATCATGCAGTCACGACCTTGATTAATCAACCATAGTGAGATTCGAACCCAAGACTATAGCTATTCATCTCCTCTGTGAGTTTCCAAATTTCAACATCCACTTCCCCTTCTACTTCTTCATGTTTCATCCTTTCTTTCTTTTTTCAATCTATTCCTTTTTTAGAGTTCCTTTATAACTTCCCACTTTTCTTTTTTTTTTTACATCTCCATTTTCACAATATTCGTTTTCTTTCTTCTTTCTTTCTTTTGCATCTTCTTTTTCTTCCTTTCTTTCTTTTTTTCTACTTTTCTTCCACCGTTTTCACTATATTCCTTTTCTTTCTTTCTTACTTTCTTTTTTCTTTCTTTCTTTCTTTCTTTCTTTCTTATAAATCTTGCCTCTTTCTTCTTCTTCTTCATCCTCATTTTTCACCCTATTCCATTTCTATATTTCTTTTACATCTTCTCTCTTTTCTTTTTTATTACTTCTTCATTTTCACCATATTCGTTTTCCTTCTTTCTTTTCTTTTTTTCTTTCTTTCTTTCTTTTACATTTTCTTTCTTTTCTTCTTCTTTTTATTCATCATTTTTCACCATATTCCTTTCTTTCTTTCTTTCTTTCTTTCTTTCTTTCTTTTAAATCTTGCCTCTTCCCTTCATTTTCTTCTTCTTCTTCATCTTCATTTTTCACCCCATTTCTTTTTCTATATTTCTTTTACATCTTCTCTTCTTTCTTCATCTTCATTTTCATCATATTTCTTTCTTTCTTTCTTTCTTTCTTTCTTTCACATCTTCCTTCTTTTCTTCTTCTTTTATGTCCTCATTTTTCAAGATCTTCTTCTTCTTCTTCTTCTTCTTCTTCTTCTTCTTCTTCTTCTTCTTCCATGTGCCTCACCTACTGATAGACAGTGAGCGACCCTGCAAAACAACTGAATCAAAATGTCTGACCAACCAACCAAGCACGCCTCCAGCCGGGCCGAGGTGATCGACACTTCTCATGCAACAAGCAAACAATGGCGTATCGTCATCAGCCAGAACGAAACTATTGGGAGACACAAGTGACGCCCACAACAATAGAAATACCGGCGCCGGCAGAGTGAGATAATGTCGGCGCAAAGGTGTCTCTGGGGACCCCACCCTTGCCATAGGCCCGTTGACAGTGACGCGCACTCACATTCACTCACCGTCTTTTTTCACCTGGTTTTCGCGCCCGACCCACTGTTTATGTACGCCATTTTGAATTTTCTGTTTTCTTTTTTTCTCACTCGGATTTTAAAAATATATTTTATCAGGCCAAATATTGCGTGGTTACACTTGGCTGAAGACGAAGACTTTTCTAAAGAAAGAGGCGACGATTCGTTTTGTCGCTTTTTAAATTTAGATTCACAATAACTTTTCGTTTATATCCCTTTAATAATTTGTCTTTTTATCATTACTTATTCTTTTTTCTTTTTTTTTTCTTTTCTAGTCGTCACTTTTTTCTTTTCATACATTATTTCTTTCTTTTCCCTCAGTTATAATTGCTTACATCTTTTTTTTATTGTATTTTCTTTCTTTTTTTCTCTTCTTTCAATCAGTTATTTCGCTTCCCCTTTCTTTATCAGTCTTCCTTTCTTTATTGCTTTCCTTCTTTCTTCCTTCCATTCTTTCTTTCTTTTTAATGCATCCACTATCATTGCTTATTCGTTCTTCATCTTGCATTTCTTTCTTTCGTGCTATCTTTGTTTGTTTGTTTGTTTGTTTCTTTCTTTCTTTCTTTCAAACAATCATCTTGCTTCCTCTTTTTTAACCGTTTTTTTATTGTTTTTCTATTTTACTTTTCTTTTCTTTCTTTCTTTCTTTCTTTTCTTTTCTTTTCTTTTCTTTCTTTCTTTTCTTTCGATCCATTATGTTACTTCCACTTTCTTTATCATAATTTTTCTTTTTTTCTTTCTTTCTCCACCTTTTTCATTAACTATCATTGCTTCGTTCTTTCCTTTGTATTTCTTTCTTTCTTTCTTTCTTTCTTTCTTTCTTTCTTCATTATTGTTACTTCCTCTTTCTTTATCATAGTTTCTCTTTTTTCTTTCTGTTTTCTTTCTTTCTCCACCTTTTTCATTAACTATCATTGCTTCGTTCTTTCCTTTGTATTTTGTTCTTTCTTTCTTTCTTTCTTTCTTTCTTTCTTTCTTTCTTTCTTTCCATTAAGTTACTTCCTCTTTCTTTATCATAGTTTTCTTTTTCTTTCTGTTTTCTTTCTTTTTCTCCACCTTTTTCATTAACTATCATTGCTTCGTTCTTTCCTTTGTATTTTGTTCTTTCTTTTCTTTCTTTCTTTTCTTTCTTTCTTTCTTTCCATTAAGTTACTTCCTCTTTCTTTATCATAGTTTTTTTTTTCTTTCTGTTTTCTTTCTTTCTCCACCTTTTTCATTAACTATCATTGCTTCGTTCTTTCCTTTGTATTTTGTTCTTTCTTTCTTTCTTTCTTTCTTTCTTTCTTTCTTTCTTTCTTTCTTTCTTTCTTTCCATTAAGTTACTTCCTCTTTCTTTATCATAGTTTCTCTTTTTTCTTTCTGTTTTCTTTCTTTCTCCACTTTTTTCATTAACTATCATTGCTTCGTTCTTTCCTTTGTATTTTGTTCTTTCTTTCTTTCTTTCTTTCTTTCTTTCAAGCGATTATCTACCTTTTTCTTTCTTTACCATTGTTTTCTCCATTTTACTCTCTCCTTTCTCTCTTTTCTTTCTTTTTCTTTCTTTTAAACCATTATCTTGCTAACTATTTCTTTTTGTTTTTCTTTCTTTCTTCCCTTCTTTTTCTTATCATTTTCTCTTTTTTTTTCTTTCTTCTTTATCGCCTCATTACTTATTCGTTCTTTCTATCGATTATCTTGCTTCCTCTTTCTTTGTCATTGTATTTATTTTCCTTTCTTTCTTTCCCGTCCATCGACTATCATTGCTTAGTCTTTCTTTCCCTTGTATTTCTTTCTTTATTTCAATCGATTATCTTGCTTCACTTTTCTTTACATTTCTTTCTTTTCCATTTTATTCTGATCCTATCTTTCTTTGTTTCTTTCTTTCTTTTTTAATCGATTATCTTGCTGGGCGAACGGTGTGAAGAGAAAGGAAAAATAAATTCGTTGAGCCGTGTTCGAATCATGTCCGAGTTTTGTTTTTTTTTACTAATATTCACCCAATACAATGCCCAAGAGCCAGTCAAGGTAGAAGCTTACTGTGTGATGTTATATTAACGTAAAAAAGAGTAAGAATTGAAATTCTTGGGACTATAAAGGACGGATAACGGCTAATTCTAGAGTTGAAGGGTCAATATTGAATTAGTGAATTAAATTTCAGAGTTCAAATCAGCGACGTTAGAAGTATCGTGTGAAAGTAGACCTTAAAAGAACGGAAAACCCAATGACAAAGTTTGTGCTGACGTCTTAAGAATGATTGAAACGGAACTGATAAAGTGTTTTCATTTTGGATTCTCGCAATAAATCTATTTTTCTTAGACTGTGTCTGTTTTGTTAAAGAAGGTCTTCGCCGGGATAGAATGTAAAGTTTTTAAAATGCTGACAGATGTGACTATTTTTTTTGGCATAATTTCATGTGGACATGCATATTGATAGCTTCTTAGGCTTAGAGATGACGTGCAACAGTTGGACGTGTGAACAATTGATAAACAAGCGGACCTAGACTCATAGGAATTTCAAGGCGTTACAAAATCTGGCGCAAAAGATCGAACATTTACATCAATCTAACATCGGTCGGTTCTTTCATTGATGTCTCTAACTCTGTACTTAACCATCTTTTTTCATTATTCAAATCTATCTATCTATCTATCTATCTATCTATCTATCTATCTATCTATCTATCTCAGTCTGTTCATATCTACCGTATATTATCTAACTCTGTTCATATCTATCTATCTATCTATCTATCTATCTATCTATCTATCTATCTATCTATGAAAACAAAATCAATTCTAATCGCCACACACTCTTCTTCACCTTGTCCCGATATTTGCATAGTAGATCTCACAATGCCACCTCATCACCCCCCGCCCTCATTCTCATCCTTTCCCTCAACTGTTCAGTCAAGCGACCCAAGATACACAAGACGTCAAGCGAATCCCAAACATAAATTTACTTCTGCACGAAGATTCAAAGTGAAGATCAAATAAAATATCGAACAGAAAGAAAAAAAATCTTATTTCTTTAATTTACCCTTTTTATTTACTTAGAAGGATTTTGTAATTTTATTATACTTTACTTCTATTCAAATTTATTTATTTGCCGTGCCTATTTGTGGAAAGGTCGAACGTTTCAACTGTAATTTCAGGGTAAAATAAAATCTAAAATTTGCTCTTAATTCAAAACCATTACCTTTAACTATAAGTTGCAACCCTTTCTAGACCTGAAAACTAAATAATAACCGGACTGATTGCAAAAGGTTCTGATAGACTCATTGAAGGGATTCCTGGAAGTCCATGCCTTAAAGAAATACAAAACATTGTTCTCACGAGTACAGCCCATACTTTACGAAGGACTTTATCTATTTAAAATATATATATGTGTGTGTGTGTTTTCATTTTGTCTTTTAATTGGTCAGTGTAAAATGTCCTGATGCCATTTCTAACCTTAGGTCTCTGGTCGGGACCCGGCAAGAAATGTGTAGACACAGAAATCAAAGGAAATAAAATAATAATAATAATAATATGCAGCTAAACAAATCAGCTTTGAAACTATAATAAGAAATGTAAGAAAAAAATCCTCTGTACAGCAAATACCTGGAATGTTTATAATTGCTGCCCAGAATCAGTACCGTTCAACCAGGAACTACCAATAATAATGATAATAATGGGAACATCAACAATCCCTGTTGTATTTGTAGTCCTCTAATTGGTTGGAAAACACTCCAGTAGACATATTGAAGGGATTCCTGTAAGCCCATGCCTTAAAGAAATACATAACATTGTTCTCACGAGTACAGCCCAAACATTACTGAGGGCTTTATCTATGTAAAATATGCGTGATGTTATTTTTTTTCCTCAAAAAATGCTCAGTGGAAAATGTCAAGATACAATGTCTGGCGTTAGGTCTCTGGTAGGGACACGGAAAGAAATGAGTAGACATCAGAAATTAAAGACGTAAGAAATTATCTAGCACGGCACAGTTAAAGCAATATCCTCCTCCTCCTCCTCATCATCATCATCATCATCCTCGTCATCATCATCATCATCCTCATCCTCATCATCATCATCATCCTCCTCGTCATCATCATCATCCTCCTCATCATCATCATCGTCATCATCATCATCCTCCTCGTCATCATCATCATCCTCATCATCCTCATCCTCATCATCATCATCATCCTCATCCTCATCATCATCATCATCCTCGTCATCATCATCAGTCTCCTCATCATCATCATCATCATCGATCATCCTCATCATCATCATCATCATCGTCATCATCCTCATCCTCCTCGTCATCATCATCATCCTCATCATCTTCATCCTCATCTTCATCATCATCATCATCCTCCTCGTCATCATCATCCTCCTTCTCATTATCATCGTCCTCATCATCCTCCTCGTCATCATCATCATCCTCATCCTCATCATCGTCATCATCATCATCCTCATCATCATCCTCCTCCTCCTTCTCCCCCTCCTCCTCCTCATCATCATCATCCTCGTCATCATCATCATCCTCATCATCATTATCCTCATCCCCTCATCATCATCATCCTCGTCATCATCATCATCATCCACATCATCATCATCATCCTCGTCATCATCATCATCATCATCATCATCATCCTTCGACCTCTCTATAGTTGGTTGAAACTCCATTGACAATCCTTTTCCACACTGTTCCGTCCTGTATTACTGTCCCCAGATTCCCAATATCCAACCCTGGGTCCTGAGCTACATAAAGTTCTTAGCAGCAGACATTGCAATGGATTCAATATAATCGTTCCATTTCATGTCAGACTAAAATGTCCGTCAGAGAATGCGCAAAGAGTTAGCAGCCACAAAGGGATCCGTTGATTAATAGAGAGCAGCTTAGTTTGGGACTTCCTTGCCCCAGTTAACAACAAACCGTAGGTAATATTTGCGAGCAGCTGCGAATTTGACCTGATCAAACCGGTCAGATTCACTATCAAGACAGGAGTAAATAGTTGTGTCATCAGCATAAATATCACGTTAAGTACTGATGACACCAGGAAAGTCATTGATGGAAATTAAAAATAAAGCAGGTCAAAGTAGGCACTACAGACATCTGCGTTAGCACCGAAAGGTCTAGAAGAGGGGCCGTTTCGTGTTTTGATATGAAAGATGGAAACAATATCTGTTTATATCTCTGAGGTATTATTAGTATTGTCATATTAGCAACGCTTCGGCCTCTATATCACTGAGATGAGGTATTATGATTACTTGCATTATTTACATTATTCGGACTGTTATCCTCATCTTCATTGCCATATTCACAACGTTTCAGCCTCTATATCTCTGAGATGAGGTATTATGATTACTTGCATTATTTATATTAGTCGGACTATTGTCTTCATCTTCATTGTCTTATTAACAACGTCTCGGCCTCTAGATCTCTGAGATGAGGTATTATGATTACTTGCATTATTTACATAATTCGGACTACTATCCTCAGCTTCACTGCCATACTCACAACGTTTCGGCCGTTGTACGCTCCGACCTTCTTCAGGTGATTGGAATTTCGAACCGAACACTCAAGGACAAATTGCCCAGTGGATAAAGACTTTGGTTAGATCCACTGTCTACACACAAAGTGTTGTGAGTTCAGTACCAGATCACAGCAGTGGTGAATGAAAAAACTTGAAGAATTGAGTTAAAAGGAAATAACTGAGATATCCGGAAGAGGCATGGCACGTGGAACTAAAACAATCTACCCCGGTGGACGGAATAAAGGGTTCAGTTCGAAATTCCAATCACCTGAAGAAGGCTGGGTCGTATAACGGTCGAAACGTTGTGAATATGTCAAGGAAGATGAGGACAAAAGTTTGGAGACTTTAGTTAAAGGGAGATAACTGAGACATACGGAAGAGGCATGACACGTGGAACTAGAACAATCTATCCTTGCTGGACGAAATAAAGGGTTCAGTTCGAACTTCCAATCATCCGAAGAAGGACGGAATGAACAACGACCGAAACGTCGTGAATAAAGATGAGGACAACAGTCCAAACAATGTAAATAATGTAAATCATTCCAATACCTTATCTCATAAATATAGACAAGAGAATTGCTTTTCCTTTATCGTGTCCGTACACAATTAATTTTCTATCCGTACGCAGGTGGTTTTATCCATTGTCTTTATTTTAATATCGTTCGCAAATACATCAATAGAGGCCAGATACTTTTGTTTTGACTACTGTTCATACAAAGAAGCAATTTAATTGTATCGCTTCTCGAAATGAAATCAAAACAGGGTCCAAGTCAGAAGAGCCAGGTAACAGACAGATACTACACTCTGATCCTAAGTTTAAAAAAAAAATAAACTTAACTGCCGCATGTAGAGATATAGGATTAAGATTATAGAGATCGAGGAAGCAACCTCTCGGGATTCGCTTCCACAGAGCTGTTCGAGGGAACCTCTCACCGATGGAATAGAGGGGAATGTGGTTTGCTAACTAAAAACACTGCTTTTTAGGCACAACTGCAGTAGCCATGTATTGAATTCTTTGGGTCAAGTCACTGGATCCAACCAACGCTTTTATCCACTGGGTCAAGCAACCTCAAGCATATGACTTGATCCAAAGAATTGTGAGTTCAATACCTGCCTACTGCAGAGGTGAACAAAAGCATGAGCACTTTAGTTAAAGGGAGATAACTGAGACATCCGGAAGAGGCACGGCACATGGAACGAGAACAATCTACCTCGGTGGACGAAATAAAGGGTTCAGTTTGAAACTCCAATCACCCGAAGAAGGCCGGGGCGTACAACGGCCGAAACGTCGTGAATATAAGCAATAAAGATGAGGACAACAGTGTAAATAATGTAAATAATATCAATACGTCATCTCATAAATATAGAGAGACAAGAAAATTTTCTTTCGTATATCGTGTCCGTACATAATTCATTTTCTAACCGGATGCAGGTAGTTTTATTCATTTTCTTTATTTTAATCGTATCGCTTCTCAAACTGAAACCAAAACAGGTTCCAAGTCAGAAGTGACAGGTAACGGACAGATACTACGCTCTGATCCTAGGTTTAAAAAAAAAGAAGCTTAACCGCCTCATGTACAGATATAGGATTAAGATTGTATTGATCGGAGAAGCAACCTCTCGGGATTCGGTTCCACAGAGCAGTGATTTCTGTTTGTTTCTTATTTAAACATTCTCTCGGATTTAATCCATATTTGTTATAATTGCTGTTCTGAAACAGAAAACTTGTTGCCTCCTCAAGTCTCGAGGTGTGACTTGGGGGAGACGTCTACTACACAAAAGACAGAACACTGGATGATGATATCTGTCAGAAGACTGGATTAGGATATGTCTCAAAGAACATGAAAGTCGTAAGCGCCTTTATTCCGTAATAAAAGAAGCCAACAAGTTCAAAATGGAGTTTCAAATGGATGCAGAAATACAAGTAAAGCCCAATACACCGACTGAAGCTGCAAAATACATAAAAAAGAAAGCAAAAATAAATACAGCTGGCCAGATATAGAAACAATGGCAAGATAAACTGCTTCCTAGCCAATACTCTGCCCGTACCAAACAAGCTGACGTAGACAAAACCCGTACCCATCAGTGGGTACATAGTGCCGGGTTAAATGCTGAAACTGAAGGTTTTATCCTTGCTGCACAGGATCAATGCTTGTTAATTATCAAGCACATATACTAAAATATTGTGTTAGCCCAAAATGCATATTCTGTGATAATTACCCAGAAACAATTGATAATCTTGTATCAGGTTGCACGGTATTGGCACTCAGTAAATATAAAACCCGGCATGACAGAGTTGGCCAATATTTTCATTGGAAGATCTGCAACTTCTACGGGAAGGAAACTGAAAGAAACTGGTATGAACACCACCCAGAACAGGTTACGGAGATAAAACCTGTTACAATTCTATGGGACTACACAATACACACTGACAGAAAAATCAAAGCCAACCGCCCAGACATTGTTATTAAAGAC